TCACACAAATAAGAATACATAAAATGTCTAGAAAAGGCAAACTGTAGAGACAGAAAGCAAATGAGGGCTGACTGGTTGGGCTGCGTGTGGGAACAGGGATTAACTGCAAAATGTGCACAAGGGAACTTCTTGGGTATGACAAAATGGTTTGAAACTTGATTGTGGTTATGGTTGCAAAACTATATAAATTTACTAAAACTCATAAAATTAAACACTTATAGTGGGTGAATTTTGTGGCATATAAATTATGCTTCAATAAAGCTATTTTTAAATGACTTAACAAGGAATTTCACAAAGGTCACCCAAAGATCAAGTAAGTATGTACATAAAAAGGCACTCAATTTCATTAGTCATTAGGAAACGTAAATAAAACAACCCACGGTGAACAGAATAGCTAGCAAATACCAGTGTCAGTGAGGATACAGGACAACTGGGAAAAGTTCCTGCTGTGGTCTGAGTGTGTCCCCCACACTTCGTGTGCTGGAAACTTAACCCCAAATTCATGTTAATGGTATGTGAAGGTGGGACTTTTGGGAGGTACCTAGGTCATAAAGGCTCTGCTCTCATGGATTAATGGATTCATAGGTTATCAAGGGAGTGGTTTTATTCTAAAAAGCCAACACTGCCTGACACCCTAGCTCTGTCTCCATGAGATATTCCTTGCCATGTTATGAAGTAACATGAAGGCTCTTACCAGCGTTGAGCAGATATTGGTGTTCTGCGATGTCCCTGCCTCCAAGACCATCAGCAAAAAAACCAAATTGGTAAGTCTGTGGTAATCAGTCATAGCAATAGAAAATGGACTAAAACACTCCTAATACCCTAGTGTAGGAGTGTAAACTGGTATAAACACTTTGGAAGACTGGCAGTATCTTCTAAAGCTAAAAAAAAATGTACGTCCTATGAGCTACAAAACCCATTCTCAGGTACATAGTCAACAGAAATGAACAAAGATGTGCACCAAAACAAAAGTACAAAAATACTGATGAGTCTTACTATTAATGTACAAGAAGATATAATTCGAATGTCTACCAACAAAAGAATGGATAAACTATAGCATTCCAAACAATAAAATAAAAAATAAGGAAAAAGATCAAATGACTATTAACTACATGCAACAACATGGATGACTCTCACTCACATGATACAAAAAACAGCCTTACTCAAAAGATTACATTCATGATTACTTATATCAAGCCCCCAAAAACACCACACACTTAACAGACAAGAAGAAGATACCAACAGAAAAATGAACAATGGAACAAACACAAAATTCAAATGACCAAAAGACATACAAAAAGAATTTCTTATTAATAATCAGAGAAAGATAAAGATAACATACCATCAGATTGCCAAAAATTCTGGTAATATGAAACCTTGGCAATAGTGCAGAACAAGGACATTCTCCTATACAGCCAATGGCAACACAAATTGTTTCATTTGGTCTCATCTAGTAAAATTAAAGTTATACTACTCTATAACCCAGCAATTCCACTTCAAGGTTAAGTCTCTGTAAAACTCATACATATGTGCACCAGCATTGTGTGTAACAACTGATATGTCCATTAATAGCACAGTGGTAAATAACTGGTGATATAATCATAGAATGGAATACAATTCAACAACGAAAATGAACCAACTGTAGTTCTAGATGATAACAAAGACAATGTAACAAACATAATTCTGATTGTGAAAGAGAAGACACAATAAAATACACTTTCCATTTTTATAAATTAAATTCATAGGATTTAGGGATACACATTTAGATAGTAAACTAAAAAAAAGCAAAGATAGGATAGTAGGATTCCTTTAGGGGAAAAGAGGGGTCAGATTCAAAAAGGAGGTAGGAAGGAGGCAGGGGCTAGCAGAATTCCTTAACCCTGATGTTGTTAATATAAATTTACTTCATTACCTGCTAAATGTACATATATTCTTCTGTACTTTTCAATGTAAAAGTTAAATTTTTCACTACTTTTTAAAAGGCACACATCTATGAGCTATCATAAAAAGAATCACTTTCATCTAGCACACAGCCAGTTCAGCTTCAAATGTTTTTAACAGATAAAACAGCTTTCTAGACATGCAATAATTTTTGACACCCCTTTTTTTCTGTTAAACATAACAGAAACCCAAAGATAAAATATTGTGAAGAATATTACACATCTTCATTTATATGACAAAATAATACAACATTAAAAAGAAAATAAATTTAAAATAATGAAGTTTTTCATATTAGGAAGTAACTCTGTTAAGAGTTAAGTGGAAGGAATACAACAATATGATGGAAACGTGATTCAAATCAACTAAATATACATGATTTCCTAGTTACAATTTAATCTTTGTAGCCATTAACAATTTCCATGAGTAAATGATAGCTAGAATGGAGTTTACAAATAGTTTTCCATTGTATTACTACCACATTCAATATTAAGGTTTGGCAGTTTTGTGACCTATATAAAAAATTTACTTGTTTGCAAGGTCCTGTGTTCAATCCCAAGTACCACCAAGAAAACAGAAAGGAAAAAAGAAGTTGCAATTTCCCTCATTTAAATTTATAATTAAAGAATTTTAAAAATAAGCACTTTTAGTGAAAAGAGGTCAAAATGTCAGATAAGTTTAAATTTTAAATTTTCTTTTTAAAAAAAAATCTCATACCTGGCTCCTCAGAAGCACAAGTACTGAAATATATTTACACACATATATAAAAGACACAAAGAACCCATGCACAATAAAACACAATCATCGAGCCCACAAAAATTATCCTAGGCACAATTTTAGAGTGTTGAAGTGCATGGAGTAAGCCGCCCATTTTTCATAAAATTTTCAATTGATGTGTCACTGTACACTTTGCAGAAAGAGTTAATACAAAGGAAAACCACAGTCTGCCTATGCCATGGGAAACACAAAAATGGTTTGTAATCTTCTTAGTCCCTTTTTTTTTGCCCCATCCCATATTTTGCTTCCATGAGTTCTAGATATAGTAATAGTAATTTCTACTATTTGTTGAACCCTTTCCAAGTGTTTTTTTTTTTTTTTTTGGTGGGACTGGGGTTTGAACTCAGGGCTTGCTTTGTGCTTGCAAAGCAGTCCATCTTGCTCTGGTTAGTTTGGAGATTGGGGTCTCTCGAACTACTTGCCTGGGCTGGCCTGTAACCTCCATCCTCCTGATTTCAGTCTCCCTAATATCTAGGATTACAAGCATAAGCCACCAGCACCATGCTTCTCTGTTAATTTTTCACAAATCTAGGAGCAGGCCTTACTGAAGAGGAAAGTCAGGCACAGAACAAAGAAGTAACTTGCCCAAAGTCACAGAATGCTATTGAGTGAGGGAGCCCGAATTATTCTAACTCCAAAGTCTGTGCTCTAAATACTATGCTGTTATTCACACCATGAAAACTGCCCATAACCACCTACCACCTTCTTTCTCACTACAAGATCCAGGATCTCAAGATCCTTGAGAATTTATTTTTGCCTTTCCTAACTAACCAAAAACTCACAGAATGTTAAGAGGTAAAGGAATCTAAACAAACTTTTAGGGAAATCTATGATTTTACAATTAAGACAATGGAGGTCCAGAGAAGTTAAGTGGTTTGTCCAAGACTACAAAGCTGGTTTGTGACAGCCAACTCTTGACTCCCAGTGACCTTCCATTCCTACTTGCATCTTATACCACAAGCTCTTGCTGAAATCACATTTTAACCTCCACACACTTAAGTTTGCTTTGCCAACCTTCAATAGCATTCATATGTAGGTAACATACACTCTTTCATTTCAACAACTACATAGAGAGATGCATGTGCTCAGGCAACAGATGGACCCAAATGTATAACTCTGTCCCCAATTTTATTATGGAAACATGAACATATCAGCTATAGTACGTGACAAGTGCTATAGCAGCCATGTGAATGTATTTTGAAAGCACATAACTGGGGTTTTAACAAGATACACTGAAGGGAAAGGCAGAAGTGTAATGGTGCTTAGAAAGTAGGAAAAACGCTATCATTTTATAGTGACCCTATACTACATATGGGGTTAGAAGACTTGAGTTCAAGTTGTGACTGTGACTTGTGTGACTATGAACGGTTTCTCAGTCCTGAAATGTTGATACTGACCTGCCTACTTCCCAGGATTTTTATGAGAATTAAATTATGCAAAAGTGCTTCAAAACTGAGAAGTCCTGTATTTATGTTTTCACTTCTAGGCAACCCTGTGGGTCCTTCCCCTAAACCGTGCCTCATAAAAACCTCACCCTTTAGGATGAAAATACTCCAATGACATCACTCATATGCTCCTTAAAAGTGTAAACAGTTAAGATTAATGCCTTCAGGTTGAAACACCAAACCTCCTTCTACTGAAATAAATATGGATGAATCTGTATTCTTTGCAAATTTCTCAAGCACTAGTATTGTGCTAAGTATTGTAATAAGCCAATGCTTATTACAATTATATGTAGAAACTAGGACCACATGTAGCTTTTCCTCTGGAAATTTTTGATCAGAAATTCCACTGCCACTTTATAGCGGCCAAGCAACCAACTGAGAATAGACTCCAAGTGGCACTCACCTTACTCTGATCCCAAGAATGCTTACGCATTAACTGTAGATGCTAACAAACACAAATCCTGCTCTCCAAAAAGACTGTTTTAGTACAAACACGCCGGCAAATGCACTTGGGACACAAACACAAATACACTGAAAAGTGGAATGAGCTTCCGATTTTCAAATACTTGGCCACACGCAGACCCCTGCCATCAATTAAAAACATCACTCGTTCCTCCTGAAGTTGGGGAGCAGTAGTCTGTTCCCAGTTTAAACTCCATCCAGGCCACAGAGTGTTCAGCCCTAAGTTCTACGCCCTGAGCCACTCCTTGGATGATAAGCTAAATAAAGTTCCACCGTGCAAAGTCAAAAGACCGGGCAAGCGACAGGAAAAGGGACTGGGGAGCGAACAGTCCCCGTGCCATTCCGGGCCAGCGCAACTTCCCGTTTTCTCCCTCTTACCTTATACACTTTCCCAAAGGCTCCGTCGCCCAGTTCTCCTATAATTTCCCAAAACTCCTCGGGGTTGAGGTCCCTCTTCACGTGTTCGTACTGCTTCTTCTTCTTCTCGCTCCCCAACTTGAAGATCTTACGGAAATTGAAGAAGGACATTTTTCCTCCCAACGGTGGGTTCCCCGCACTTAAGGGCTAGAGACAACAATGAAAGGCAAAGTTTCTCCGCCCTCCTCTGCCGCGCGAGCCCGGGCGCGGGGTCCCGGCTGCTCCCGCCGGGCGGGCGGGCGATCGGTCCCCGGAGAAGGCGGGGCGGCGACTCGGCTCCGGCCCGCGGCGGGGGACGCGCGGGCGGCCGCTCCGAGCCCTGCCCGCAAGCTGCGCGGGGGGCGGGGGGCGCCTCGCCCCGCCGGCCCTCTGAGGGCTGCACCTGCCCGGACTCGTCCCCACCCGCCCCGGCCCGACGGGTCGGAACAGCCCGGATGATCGCGGCCGCAGCGCCTTAGGCCCGCGTCACGGTGAAGTCTCCAGGGGCTGCAGCTAGTCCGGGCGGGGAAAGCGACCGGCGCCTCTGAGGCGCGCAAGGGAGAGGCTGAGCTCTCCTGCCTCGGCCTTGAGTCTTCTCAGCCACCGCCGTCTGCTCCTGCCTCGCGAGGCCCGCGCGTCCCCTCGGCTCTGGGGCGCCGCCACCGCCTCGCTCCCTCCCCAGCCCACACAGCCGCGGCCTGGAGCGCGCGCCGACGCCGACGCCGTCGCCGCTCCGCCGCGCGCCCGCGCTCCCCGGCCGCGCACTGCGCTCGCCGCGTGCTCGCGAGGGCGTGCCCTCTGGCCCCGCGCACGCGCGCTGGGTCCCGCCAGCTGGGCGGCCCCAGGCGCCTGGTACGGGTCGCGTGGTGGATGCTCCGGCTCGTTCGTCCGTGACTAACGTTGCGCGTTTGCCCTCCAAGACCCACATCCTTGTCAGTTCACGGCTTTAACGAGCGATGGACACGACCCTTTTGACTGTGCTGGCGGATGTGGTGGCCTCCATTCTGGATCTGAAAAAAAAAGCGGCAAAGCGTGAAAGCTGAGCTGTCCGTGTTGGGGCCAGAAAGTGGACTTTTTCAAGCCGGGAGGACGGGTGGTGGCCGTGAGCTTGGGCTTTGGAGCCACAGTTCTGTGGCCTTGAGTGGGTAACTTCTCCCAACCTCAGTTTTCTCGTGAAATGAAAATCCTCATAGTCCCTGCCTGCAGGTTGTGGCGAGGATCAAGAGAAAAACGAAGGACTGGCGGAGTGGTTCAAATGGTAGCGCATGTCTAGCCAGAGTGAGGCCCCGAGTTCAAACCCCAGTGCCGACAAAAGAGACCCAGAGAAAGAGAAATGGATGTAAGCCCTTAGCACGGTGCCTGCACCAGCAAACGCTCAGTTAAGTGTGCAGGGAAGATAGACATAATGGATAAAAATTGTTTAAGCGCATTTCTGGGATGATGACCACGACACTCCCTTGAGGGTAACTTAACCTCCTGGCCTCCTCCACAGCCATGGACTGGTACCGTCCTTAGTGACTCCACCTGATCTGAGCTCTGCTCTTCCTAATCCGCTGGGGCTGTGTGGGCGTAGTCTGGAATCTGTCAGCTGGTGACCTTTCCCCTCCTCTTCCAGGGCAGAGGTGTGTTGTTCATCACGGGTTCCCCATGCCTGGTAACATTCCTGATGTGGACTAGAAAGGCAGACCTGGTGCATGAATGAGCAGAGATACTTGGAGCAAGGCGATGCTATTTAATAATGCCTGCCCCCCCCCAACTACTTTGCCCTCCAGCCCTAAAATGTAACAAAACCCCTCAGCTTGCAGTGATTTGGTTTCTCAAGATCCTCCTAGGTTTGTTGTTTTGGGGGTTTTTTTTAAACAGTTTTATTGAAGTATAATTGATGTACAATGAACTGTACAAATTTAAAGTGTGCAGTTTTATGTTTTGACAAATGTATACACCCATGAAAACAGTACTATCATTAGTCTGTTTTTAATTATAGTCATTTATGGAGAAAATGAAGAAATGCACAAGGAATAAAATAAGTATTAGAATTCCACTAGTCCAGCATAACCATTGGTAAGTTATATTTTATTTCCAAACAGGACGTTTTGGGCAATGTATTAACTTTTTCTCGCATGGATGAGATTGTACTACACATAAAATTTGTATTCAGCACTTTTCAGGTTCTAGTACAACTAGTAATTGTTCTCTTCCATCATGAGATCTTCACGTAATTAACAAATTTTCTGTTCTAAATAAAACATTGATAAATATCTTTATATACAAACCTGTTCCCACACATTTGGTTATTTCCTTAGTATAAATCACCAGAAGTAGATTTGGGTCAAAGGGTATATGTCTGTTTCCTTCCCCACCTCCTTTGGTGTTTTTCTCTTCAAAATAGCAAAGCCTTTACTGTTTTCTCAGATTAAAAGATGATGTGTATATCCTTGTTAAAATAATTCAGATACAGGAATTGTAATGCAGGAATCTGCCTGTAATTCTCCCCTCCTGGCTTCTCCCCATTCAGATTCACTCCTGGTGTAACCACTGTTAGAAGGTAAAGTTGTGGTGATCGGCACATTCATGGCATAAACTCTGGGTATATGTGGATGTATATTTCTCTCCAAGTTCATCAAGTTGAAAGCATTAAATATGAGCAGCTTTGTGTCTGTCAATCATACTTCAATAAAGTGTTTTTTAAAATCACTAGCAAAGCAGAGACAAAGTCCAGACACCTTTAAAACATACAAATTTTCTCATATATTACGGAAAAAAGAATGAACCTCTTATGAAAGCTTTTTATTTTAGCATAAAAATAAACATGGCCAAAAAAATAAGATTATGAAAATAAGCAACTTTGAGAGTTAATAAAAAAAAGTTCTAGGGGCTAGGAGTGACTCAAGTGATAGAGTACCAGCCTAGCAAGTGTGAGGCCCTGAGTTCAAAGTCCAGTACAACAAAAAAACAATCTAAATTGGGAAGCTGGGTGGTAAAGCACAGCTCTCAGAAGACTGAGGCTCAGGTGCTAGAATCAGGAGTTCAAGACCAGCCTGGACTAAATAGGGAAATCCTGCCTCAAAAAATAAATAAATAAATAACTGAATTGTGGTTGCACGACTATATATATTCTCTAAAAATCATTAGATCATATACTTACGAAGGAGGAATTTTATGGTCTCCCTAAAGCTGTTTTTAAACAGTTAAGAATACGCATTTTTGTATACATACTCTTTTTATATTTTTAAATGGTATCATTCTCTATAGAGCATGGACATCTCTCCATGCTGGCACAGATCCATCTGTCTGACCCTTTTCAGTAGGTGCGTAGAGTTCCAGTGTCTGGTTATATCATTTATTTAAGTATGGGCATTTAGGTGGTTCTCAGGTTTTTATCATCATAAACACCAACACAATAAACATGCATGTACGAGCACCTTTGTGTGTTTGTCTGATTATATTTTCTTAAGATACAATTCAAGAAGTGGTATTAATGAGTCAAAAACTATGAAATTTTTACATATATTGCCAATTTGGTCTCTTAAAAGGATTGGTTATACCAATTTAACCTCTGTCAACAATGTATGAGAGTCTCAATTATGCCACATCATCAGTAGCACACCAAGGTACCATCCATCCTTTTAATCTTTGTCAAATTAATAGCCCTAAAATAGACTATCATTTTAATTTACAATTCTCAGGTTATTAGTGATGTAATGCCTTTTCATATGTATAATGACCACTTTTATTTCTTATTTTATGAATTCCTCACCGTATCAATGAAGGGAATCAGGTGATGTTGTCCGTATCCTGTTAATGAGACAATCAAGTCTAACACACTTTGGTAAAATGCTGGTGGGGTTACACAATAGCTTATACATTTTCAACTTGAAGTTAGAGCCGCAGTAATTGTTTAATAATGCTGGGTGAGATGTCCTATAAACAGATTCAGATTTTCTCAGTAAAATGGCCATGATAGCTACATGTTTGTGTTTTCATAAAAACATAAACAAAACTTCCTAATACCTACATATTTGTGCTTTCATGCAACCCCAGATACCCAAATACAAGTGTATTCACACACACACATGTTCACACACGCACCAATACGCATGCACACTCCTACATGCATGCATGCACATGAATAACCACATAAACATTGTCACACACATACATGCTTGGGTATAACAACGTGGAGACCAAAGTTTTAGAACTTTAAAAACCAAGTTTAACCAGTGACCATGTATTCATTTAATACACAATTTTTGGCTCTATCCGTCCTAAAAACAGTCTAGGACATTCTCACTAAACAGGCTGGAGAGGAGACTACTCTCTTCACAACTTACCTGGAAACATCTTTCTACGATAATACAGATTTCATTTAAAAATTAGACATTTATTGTGTAGTGAGTGCTTACTCTGTGCCACACACTGTGCTAAATGGTTTACACACATCTCCCTTAAACCTCATACCAACCCTAAGAGATAGGCACTATGATGATCCCTAAATAAAAGATAGGGAAACTGAAGCAGAATTATGGCTTGGTTGCAGCCTCATACTATTGTATGGCAGATTTGAACTTGAATCAGACCTTGGTAAGCCTAACTCCCTGGCATTTAACAATACCACTAAAATTGTCTCCTTTGCCTCACAGAACAAGATTGTTGTGCCGGTCTTTCTCCTCCCTTAACTTAAAAATATGCTGTACTCACTGTCTCCACATTCTTAGCACCCGGGCATGTATGTGTGTGAATGCACACGTGGCTACTTATGTATACATGTGTTTTCATGTCATGAAAACACATGTCGTGTCTATGCACGAGCGTGCCTGTGTGTTGGTGTGTGAATGTGTGTATATGTATCCTGTGAACATGTGTGTTGTGTGAACACATTTGTATGTGGGGGGGTGTTTGTACATGACCATGTACATGTCTGTGTGTGTTTGTGAGGATATGCACATATTTCTCCCTTCAGACCAGAAGCTCTCTGAGGGCAGGAGCTGGGTCGTGCTCATCCCTGTATTCCCAAATCTAGCCCGGTGTCTTCCTAGCCCATAATTTTGTGTTGAATGAATGAATGAAAATGAAAAAAAAGAATTGGGTTGAGGGCATGGCTCAAGTAGTAGAACACCAGTACCTCCAAAAGAAAAAAAAGAAAAAGAAAAGAATTATATACTTAGTAAAAGAAATTACATGTTAGGTCCTCCCTTCTTCCTTATTTCTAATTTAGACAGTAAATTTACTAGTTAGTTCTTTAAATGCTACCAGGTACACGTAGCATTCCTTCAGTGTACACGTACTCGGGGTATAAATACATTTTCTATCCTGTGGAGTTATATTTTTAGAAAGGAATTTTTCAGGTATTTTAAGAAAGTAACCAGCAATTATGATGATTATCCTCCTAAAATAGAGTTGTGTGTCATTCAGAATATTCCAAATCAAATTTTTGGTCATTTTTTTTTCCTATTTTAAAAAAACAAAAAAAGTAAACAAATCACCTTAATTTAAACTCCTTTGTTGTTGTTGTTTCAAAAAAGAATCTAAAAATATCCTCCCTTCTAATTCATCTCTCCTGCGGCATACAGGGTTATTACACACACTCCCAATTCTCCTCCTCCCTAGTGACTTCCACGAAAATGAATCATATGCACTTGGCAGTGTAATGAGAAGGCTTAACTTCAAATCTTGAGAAATTAGAAAATAAAAACTTTATAGACATACGTCTTCCTTTTACAAGTAGTGTACAAATTCCAGTTTTAAAATATAGATACCAT